TAGCTGTGTCAAGGTAACAAAAAACCAAGCAGCATGTCCAGTGACCTCACTTCCTCCCATGAGGCCCCACCTCTTACAGACATCACCACCTCCTGACAACACCACCGGCTGGGGACCAAGCCTTCGGCACCTGGGTTCTGCGCACACTGAAGAGCTACAGCAGCCATGGCACATGGCTCTGTTTCTGTGATGCTGGATTCTATGGTTGGGGTCTGCCGAGGGCCTATCTGACAGAGACTTCATATGCAATATGCAAAGGACCCTTAAAAACAACGAACTGGGCTTTAAAATGGGCAGGAGAGCTGGACAGACCTAAGGCACTTGTCTGCGCGCTTGTCTTTGAGGATGGCCTGAGGGTAACACTTGTCTCAGAGTGGCTTGAGATGTACCATCCCCTTTCCAGTTCTCAGGAGAGGTCCTGAGGGTCGTCGGTGTGGATCCTTCTTGGTCTGTCTCCACCGGGTCTTTGTTTTTCTTCCTTGTGCATTAGCTCTGCTCGGGTAGCTGACCCGAGGCTTCCTCGGCACACGTGTCCATGGCTGTGGGCTTCTCCCATGGCAGGGCTTCTGCTGAGTCTGCACTGTGCTGGCTGATGCCCAGTGTCAACCTGACAGGATTTGGAATCACCTGGGGACACTTCTGGGCATGTCGGTGAGGGTGTTTCCAGAGAGGATTGACTGAGACTCCATGGATGTGGGGGGCACCAAACCATGGGCTGGGGTCATGTGATGAATAACGAAGAGGAAGTGGCCTGAGCATGTGTATGCCTTGCTCTTTGCATCCTGACTGAGGACTCAGTGTGTCCCCTCACACCCCTGCCACCGTGATTTCCCTGCCATGACGACTGTGTCCTCGAACCCTGGGCTAAGACAAACCCCTTCTTTCCTTGAGTTGTGTTGTTGGGTGCTTTTCACTCTCAGAAAAGTAACTAACAGAAGGGGCATCAGGGCTTGACGGGGATGGGAGGTGGGGGATGGGAGAGTGGGAGGATGGGGGTATCTGCTCCCCATATCTGCCATGCACACTGCAAAGGAGCCTTCAAATCAACAATGAACCAACCTGATTCAAAACTTGGCAAGAGAGCTGGATAGACCCCTTGCCAAAGAAGACATCCAGATGCCACGGTGTAAACTTGGAAAAATGAAGTCATAGGCAGGGTGGGGCACGTCTGTGATCTCAGCTAAGGCAAGAGGAGGAGGAGCATGAGTGTGAGGACAATTTGTGCTATGTAGAATGAGAGAGTGAATCTATATACTTGTAAGAATGCCCCACATCAAAATACCAACAAGAGATGTTGGGGAGGAAGGGGTGACGGGAGGTCCCCTCAGTACTTCTGGGAACACAGAATGGCTCGGAGCTGTGGAAGAACCTGGTGGGCTCTTAAAAATATCAAACACACCTCCAACCATCCAGCACTCACACTCCTTGCTATTCCTCAAAAGGACCCGAAAAGCCACATCTTCACAGAGATCTCTGAATGGACGGGCACGCTAACACTTTAGTCACAATGCCAAAAGTGCCATAGAGCAATCCTGAGCCTCAGCTGGGAGGGAGAGACCCTGTAGGGAAGGGCTAAACCTGCCGAGGGAGAGCTTCTGCATCCAGAGCAGGGAATGATGTTCAGAGGAAAAGGACTGTGGAAGGGACATGGCGGAGTGTAGTGGGACCTGGAAGAGCATAGAGCCCTTCTGAGCATGGTTCTAAGAGAGGGGAGAAGGCTGTGAAGGGATTGCTGGAGGTTGGTGGACAGGGACACTCCACAGGG